ATCTGCATATGGTAATCTAATCTTTGACAAAGCTGACAAAAACATACACTGGGGATTAATCAGTTTTTTAAATTTTAAATTTTTTAATTGACACATAATAACTGTACATATTTATGGGTACGGTATGATTTTTTTCTCTCTTTTCTTTTTCTTGAGACAAGATTTCTCTCTATGGCTGTGCTAGGGTGCAGTGGCATCGTTATAGCTCACTGCAACCTCTAACTCCTGGGCTCAAGCAATCCTCCTGCCTCAGCCTCCTCCTTGGTTGTTGGAAACGAACCAACAAGGGAGGAAAGCTGCCCCCAGGCCCCACACCAATACCTTTCCTGGGGAACCTGCCACAAGTTCGCACTGATGCCACCTTTCAGTCTTTCCTGAAGGTGAGTCCCCTCGCATAGGGCGAGAAGCAACTAATGCTATAGACCGATACACATAGAACCTCATAACTTCTTGAAAATAGACTCTTGGAAACACAGACTTTCCAAACCTTAGAATTCTGGAATTCCAGAATCCTAAAATTTTGGAAACACAAGTTCCTAGGGCATCGAAATAAGACTTTCAAAATCTCAGGACTTTGGAATCGCAGTGCATCATATTTTTATACACAAGGACTCTTGTACTCACGTTGTCTTAGAAATATGTAACTTACCATTATGAAATCTTAAGATTCTAGAAACTTAGCATTTAAGAGAGAGAAGGATGGATCTTGGAATTCTTCTAATCCAGGTTCATTATTTTATACATGAGGGAACTAAGTCTTATGGGAAGGGGCAGATTCTTGCCCAAGAACCCAGGAGCAAAGATTTCTATACCTTTTTCCCAGTAGTCCTTCCAAGCCCAGGGTTTAACTGCATTCATTATTCTTCCCACATCTGTATCCCTATAAAATCGTTATCCTCTTTGCTCTACACTTGGTATGCCAATTAACACCCTCCTCTTGTGTCTTCCTTCACTCCCAGCTCAGCGAGAAACACGGCCCCGTGTTCACTGTGTATATGGGACCCCGGCCAATAGTTGTTTTATGTGGACGTGAAGCAGTGAAGGAAGCCCTGGTAGACAAAGCAGATGAGTTCAGTGGCTTTGGGGAAACTTGGCTAGACTAAAACGTCCAAGGTCATGGTAGGTAGAAACAACAACAAGAAAAACAGAAGCTGTTCATAACGTGCTCCTCATGTTCCAAGTTCTTTGATAATGACTTTACATGAATTATTGCATCAACTCCTTTCAGAGGGCTTTTAATATTGTACTGATTTTGTAAATGAAAAAGCGGACGATAAGAAAGGTTAGGTTATGTCACACAGTAAGTGGTAGGACCACTTCATATTTAACCCACACCATCTGACTCTAGAGTGTTTTCTGAGTCATTTCTATTCATACTTTTAATGGATTACTGAGTGATACTCTGTGTATGCGCTGAAGCCCTCATATCCGACCTTACCTCTCATCTTCTTACACACATACACATGCCTAACCCATAGATCTCTGCCTCCTCCGTTTAGGTAGATCCCTTTCTCCAATGCATCCATTTCTAACTGCCCACATCCTTCAGTTCCAAGCAGGCTCACCCCATTCTTTCCATCCTTCCATCTATCTATCCCTGTACCTTCCCTTCCTTATGTCCATTGATCCATGAATTCATTAAAAGTCCATTTATTATTCTTTCTATACAAACAGCTTTTGCTCTATTATCTATACATCTATCAATCAACTTTCTATTTATCCATCCATCCATTCATTAACCCTTCCATCATTCATACATCTATAATCTTTCTGTCCATCCATCCTTCCAGCCGTTATTCATGTATCTCAAATCATCTATCCATTAACCCTTCACCCATCTATTAACTCTTTCATCTATCCAACCAGCCATCCATCGTTCCAGTCATAAACTCTTTCTGCTATTCATCAATCAATGAAAACAATTTCATTAAATTTCCATTAAATTTCAATGCATCAGAATAAGACTCTCATCAATCCATACATCTGGTAATTTCTAAATATTTCTTGCTACATGGTAACTCCTTTGCTATGGATATATTCATGTGCAAGTGTGAGCTTCTGTGTACATGTACATACATATATCTAGAGAATTGAAGTGGTGTATAGAAAATAAAATTACTGTCCCATTCCAGAGTACTCTATATGCATTCTATCCATACCTCCCTCTGCCTCCCATGCATTTATTTATTTATCCAGTTCCAGCTTTCTTTCCTGTAAGAACTTACAGGATATGATGCCGTAAAGGAGGCCTGGTGGACCAGGCTGAGGAATTCAGCAGGCGAGGCGAGCAGGTCACCTTTGACTGGCTCTTCAAAGGCTATTGTAAGGGGGACCCTGGATGGAGGAATGTGGTCAGGCAGACTGCATGGCCTCAGTTTCCCCACTCACCCGCCCACTAGAGCCTGTGGCAAAGCCCTTAGTCTGCTACCTCCCCACAAACGATCATTGTTGTCTCTGTCACTCACCTGTCTCAGTGTCCCGATTTCTCCCTGCCTCTCTCTGCTGCTGTCTCCCTGTCCTCTCACAGATGTCTCTTCCTTCCCCTACGCCTCCTTCTCATACAACCTTTGGGGATTTCTGTTTTCAAACCCTCGTCTTCTGTCTCCGTTTGTCTTTTTGTCATTCTAGGCTTCTGTGCTTCTCCACGTTTCTCTCTCTCCTCCTGCTCTCCCTTTCTCCTTCTTCTATCTTAGAATCTCACTTGATTCCTGCTTCAAAATCCCCATGCCTCTACCTCCCGGTAATGATCTCTCCTCTTTCCAGCCCCTCTCTGTTTCTCCCTAGTTATCTCTCTTCTCCAGCTCACTTTTAGAATCCTTCACCATTTTTACTTCCACCTCCCAGATCTCCACATATCTCACCTCCTGTCCCTCCATCCTCCACCCTTTTGCTATCCCTCTCTCTCCTTCCTGTCCTCCTCCATTGAGTGTCCCCGTCCCTGTCTGTGCATCTGTCTTGCCTCTGCCTCTGCCTTCTGATTTTCTTCCCTCGCTCCCTGTCTCTCTACACAACCCCACAGCCACCCTGCCCTTGGAAGCCCCTTGGAACTGTTGGAACTGGTCTGGGGCCTGCCCCGGCCACTCTCTGACCTCCTGCACCCCTGCGCTCACCTCCAAGGCATGGCATTCAGCAATGGCCAGTGTGCCAAGCAGCTGCAGCACTACTGCATCACCACGCTACCGGACTTCGGCATGGGCAAGCGCGGCATTGAGGAGAGCATCCAGGAAGAGGTGGGCTTCCTCACTGAGGAATTCTGGGGCACGCGCGGTTAGCAGAAGGGACCCCAGAGTACTAAGGGACGAGAAGGAAAACGCCAGGAACCTCGCGTTCTGGCCGGGCATGGGGACTAGGCTGGGAAAAGGCTTCTGTGTTTCCTGCTCTGGATTCTGGAGCTGGGAACTTGGCCCATCACAGCAGTTCCCTTCTCAGACTGGCATCAGCCCATCAAGTTCACTCTCTCCCTCCAATCCCCATCTCTCCCTCAACCCGCCCCACCCCGCAGGCGCCATCATCGATCCCACCTTCTTCCTGAGCCGAACAGTCTCCGATGTCATCAGCTCTGTTGTCTTTGGGGACCGCTTTGACTATGAGAACAAAGAGCTGCTGTCACTGCTGCGTATGATGAAGGGCA